ACTGCGTTGCCTAGTGCAGTAGTCTGGGAGCTGACCTTGTCTGTGAAGACAGAGGCAAACAAGCATTGAGTACTTCAGTTTTTCCCACATCTTCTGTCACTAGGATACCTCCCTCATCTAGTAAGGGCCCCACATGCTCCCTGATCACCCTCTTATAGCTAACATGCCTATATAAACCTTTCTTGTTACCCTTCACATTCCTTGCTAGCTGCAATTCCAATTGTGCTTTCGCCTTCCTGATTACTCCCCTGCATTCTCGAGCAATATATTTATACTCCTCCCTAGTCATCTGTCCAAGTTTCCACTTCTTGTAAGCTTCCTTTTTGTGTTTGATTACTTTCCTGCATTCTCAAGCAAGATATTTATACTCCTCCCTAGTCATCTGTCCAAGTTTCCACTTCTTATAAGCTTTCCTTTTTGTGTTTAAGCTCGCCAAGGATTTCCCTGGTAAGCCAATCTGTTCCCCTACCATATTTGCTTTTCTTACTGTGCATCGGGATGGTTTGTTCCTGTGCCTTCAATAAGGCTTCTTTAAAATACTGCCAGCTCTCCTGGACTCCTTCCCGTTCATGTTAGCATCCCAGGAGATCCTGCCCATCAGTTCTCTGAGGGAGTCGAAGTCTGCTTTTCTGAAGTCCTGGGTGTGTATTTTGCTGCTCTTTTCTTCCTTTGGTCAGGATCCTGAAATCTACCATCTCATGATCATTGCTTCCCAGGTTGTCACCCACATCTACTTCCCCTACTAGTTCCTCCCTGTTTGTGAGCAGCAGGTTAAGCTGTGCATGGCCCCTGGTCGGTTCCTTCAGCACTTGTATCAGGAAGTTATCCCCAACATTCTCCAAAAACTTCTTGGATTGTCTGTGTACTACTATATTGATCTCCCAAAAGATGTCAGGGTGATTAAAGTCCCTCATGAGAACCAGGGCCTGTGATCTGGAAGCTTCTTTTAGTTGTCTGAAGAAATCCTCATCTACCTCATCCACCTGATCTGGTGGTCGATAGCAAACACCAACCACAACATCACCCCTGTTACTCCCACCTCTAAGACTTTCAACAGACTTTTCTCCCTCCATATACTGGAGCTCTGAGCAATCATACTGCTATCTTACATACAGTGCAACTATTCCACCTATTTTCCCCTGTCTGTTCTTCCAGAACAGTTTATACCCTTCCATGACAGTGTTCCAGTCATGTGAGTCATCCCACCAAGTCTCCATTATTCCAATCAAATCATAGTTCTTTGACTGTGTCAGGGCTTTTAAGTCTTCCTGTTTGTTTCCCAGACTTCTTGCATTTGTGTACAAACACCTTAGATAACTAGTTGATTGCCCTACCTTCTCCATTCAAATTAGGGGTCCTCCTTTGTTGTCCTTTCGTCTTTGTGGTTTTTACCTCAGGGCTTAGGTCACCATCCCCCAATGAACCTAGTTTAAGACCCTTCTCACTGGGTTTGCAAGCCTGCCCATGAAGATGCTCTTCCTCTCTTGGTTAGGTGGATCCCATCTCTTTCTAGCAATCCTCATGCCTGGAACGGAGTCCCATGGTCGAAGAAACCAAAACCCTCTCTCTGACACCACCCTGTGCAACCACGCGTTTACTTCCATGATTCGACGATCCCTACATGGACCTTTACCTTCAACAGGGAGGATGGAGGAGAACACCACTTGTGCTTCAAATTCCTTTATCCTTCTTCCCAGCACTACATGCTCCCCTTTCCAACTATGGGGAGAGGAAAGGAGGAGAGCGGGTGCACACTCACCGCAGTCTCCCCAGCCTCAGAGGAAGGTATAGTCTTGGGAGAGGGAGGAGGCAGGGCGTTCTGCACCGTGCAGCATGGCCCCAGCCCCAGAGCACCAGGACAGGGAGAAGGGTGTGCCACACCACATAGCCTAGCTCGACCCAGCCTCTCCAGCCCCAAGGAGGGCAGAGGTCACACAAAGTGGCCCTAGCCTCCCCAGGCCCGGAGCACCAAGGCAGAGAGGAAGGGACGCCGCATTGCCTAGCCTCTCCAGCAGTGGGAAGGCAGGTGCTGCGGGCAGCAACACTCTGCCCCCAGAACACCTACAGCAAGTTTTCTGGGGGTGGAGTGTGGGCAGGTCTATACCTGGCCTTTTGGGAAGGCAGAACCTTTCCCTGCCTTACGTACCCAATGCCCATGCTCTTAACTAGCCCGTGACTGGGGCGTTCTTAAGAGGCCACTTCACCTTAAGTGGTCTTTTGAAAAATGTGTTAACTAATTATGCGAAACCATCTGTTCCATCTTATATTTGACTGTGACACTGACTCTGAGTATATTTGCCAAACCTGAAGAAGAGCTCTGTGTAGCTTGAAAACTTGTCTCTCCCACCAACTCAGACTGGCCTATACAATTTACACAAGATAGTACCTCAGGCAGCTTGTTTCTGTGAGGTAACTGCAAGTCATTCTTCTTCTTCTTACCAAGGCTTGTGGAAGCCCCTCGGCTACCAACATGGGGGTAGACATGGCTCTCCAGAGTACAACAGGGTTAAAGCTGAAGAACAGCTTCTGAATGTAGCTTCAAATACAGGCAGATTTCCAATTAGCAATTTGAACTGATGAATCAGGCCTGTACAAAGGGGGTATGTGAAAAGGGTGTGAGTGCACCCCTCTAAGGTCCCCCCTCTAAGGTAAGTGTGCTCCAGCCAGCCAGAGAAAGGCAAGAGCCTCCCTATCCCATGCTCCAGCTGGCCCGAGGAAGGCCGGGGCTGATTCCCCCTTCTGGGGGCACGGGCAGGAAATAAGCCCGAGCCTTCCCCTGGCCAGCTGGAGCACATTTACCTGGGGGACATTGGCAGGTTGCGCTCACACCCTTGCCCTCCACATTTACAAAAAAAGCACCCCCAGAGAAATTCCTGTGTACAGGCCTGAACACAGACTGTAGTTTCCCACTTTACTGTCTCTTAGCAGGGATAAGCACTGTGGGCCTTTAGGAACAGACCACATCTGCATTCAGGCTTCGCCTGTAAGTTACCCTAAGTCAGGGATTCTCAAACTTTGTGATACTGCGACTCCCCTCTAAGTCACTCGTGACCCCCCGAGGGGTCAGGACCCACAGTTTGAGAAACATGGCCCTAAGTAATTCCTGCATGCTCCTGACCCACTGCAAGCTCATTAACAGAAAGTAGGTAAGACAGGGATATGCTGAGTGTTATTTAATGGACCCAATGGCTGTGCAGTCATCCTAGGAACCTAGTCACCACATGTTGTATAGAACAAACAGATGACAAATACTCTTAACTATCCTTTTTTTCACCATGTGCTAACTTGGCCTTTGTGTTATACAATTACAGCATATGCTGTTTTGTAATGTAATATTAGTAGAGTTTTGGGTAGAAAGTTTTAAATAAATAACAACATGGACAAAGAAACAGATGTAATGCTAGGAGGAAGGTCAAAGAGACCTGTGTTTGTAACACAACATTCTTGGTCCAAACCAGCCACTCTCTTCCTTGCACGGTATTTAGCCCTATTTCATGGAAAAGAATTTCTAAAAATGTAATTGCACTCTATAGGTGAGGTTCAAACTAATCAGCACATGGTCTTCTTTAGAATGTATTTGGCAACAACTCATAATTGACGTAGCTCCACTGAGGTGTTGAAAAGGCTTTAAGTGTCCTCCTGAGAGAGAGTAAAATCTTTCAGGGAAAAGCTTTATGAATAGCCAAATTCAGGAGAGGATGTCTGTGTTACATTTCAGCTGTTAATTTCTAAATGAAAAAATAAATGTACTGTAAAGAATGCCAGTACATGATATTAGAAGGATCTGGCTTAAGGTCAATGTGTGCCTTGATGCCATTTAAAAGGTTTATTATTTATCTGGAAATAAGTTACATTAATTTTTATCAAAATTCATAGAATCATAGAATCATAGGACTGGAAGGGACCTCGAGAGGTCATCGAGTCCAGCCCCCCGCCCTCAAGGCAGGATCAAGCTCCGTCTACACCATCCCTGACAGATGTCTATCTAACCTGTTCTTAAATATCTCCAGAGACGTTCCTTGTCACCGAAGCAAAAGGAAAACATTGTATACGTATGATATGATGGTTGGTCTGTATCAGGTGAGAGGCTTAATGTTTTTACTCTTTAATTTTTCGCCTCTATGAGCCATCTCTTCAGAGATCTATAGAAAAGAAGAAATTAAGTTCTGAATAGCAAACAAATTGAAATAAATCAGCTGATTCATTCATATAGGACATATTTTCACTTTTTTATCCTAGGGTGAGACTGACCATTTACTGACTAAAAATCATTTTAATCTTTTACTGTTGAAGTTCCGTAAAGATCACCAGAGACTAGAGAGTGCTCTAAACTGCTCTGTCCCCTAACAAGATGATTTTGTCTCAGCAACCCATCTCTTTGAAACATGCTCACCAAGTTAATAGCTAGGCCAGGAAAATGAGTGAGTGAAAGCAGATGTAGGATAATGAAATCCCCCAGAGTCAGAAATGTAGTGCAAAGAGAGGACTCAAAAAAAAACCCTAGCTTTATACGAATGAAATGACAACCCAGGATAAATTGAGGCAATGAGGTAGCTCAAATAAACATATTCATCATTCATGAGCATCAATGACAGACAATAAACCCTGAAGAGACTAAGGAATATTGTGGGATCAATATATTAAGGAATATTGTGCTCTCAGTACTTTTTGTGCTAGTTTTAGGAGACTGTTACTTTGAAATAAGATGATCAATAGTCCCAAGTCTGAATAAAACAAAAGACCAATTATAGTGCTGAACAATATTTTGATCACTGCAGTTGGGGGACAGAACTCAGTGAGGTGAGTAGGTCTCAGAGCCCCAGCTCCAACCCAAGTGGGAATATCTACATTGCTATTTCTAGCCCTGTAGCACGTCCAAAGCAGCTGAACCAAGCTCTGAGATCCACTGGTGTGGAGTATTCTTGCAGTGTGGATGTACCATTAGGTGTCTGCCCCCAGATTCACAATCAACAAGACTCCAGCTGAACGATGTAGGTTGCCTAAATGTGCTCACTATGTTTTTCAAAGTAAAACATTTCCACCTCTGGTGATCCTATCTCCCACCTAAACCCCAGAATGTTTCACAAATCAGGGGAAGACAGCTATATGCTGACTGACATGGCCAAGAGGGACACTTGTGAGTCTTGACCACTTGGCCCATTGGTTAGAGTACTCAGGTTCAATTGTCCCTTTGAGGTGAGAAAGGCTTGAGACTGGGGCTCTCGACCCTCAGTCTCAGCTTTGCATTGTGGATAAATGATTGGGTCAGAGGGTAGGGCACACAGCTGTAAGGTGCCACACATGAGTAGTATGTGAGGGAATGGACAGATCAACATTGGAAGGCTGCTTTAGATGAAACTGAGGATTAGGCTGGCTTCAGAGTGCCAAGGAGCCCACCCTGCTATGGATTCTGTTTAGCAGACTGCCTTGTCTAGGGCCTTAACCCACTGTGCTGCATATTTTGCCACAGGTGCCTCCTGTGAGATCTTAGGTTAAAATCAAAAGCTGCAACCATCCATAGGAGCAATGGCATAGAGCAGGAACAGGTAGTAAGGTGGACCAGACCTGTAGATTTTTGCTGTGTGAAGTGGATTGATTTGACAGACTAAACATTTTGCCTGTCTTTATGGCAGGGCTCATGGAGTTTGAGAATGGCATGCAGGTGCCTACAAGAACACACTTTGTTATCTTGCACACTGGAGATCCAAATGTTGCAAGGTAACCTTCCAGGGAAGCTGATTTAAAGCCCAGCTGTTGCAGAGAGTAAGTTTGTATAACAGTGTTTAAAAAACAATGGCTCCCTTTTTTTAGATAAAGCAATTTCTGGTTCCATGGTAGGAAAGTAAGCAAATCCTCTCTGCCCCACCCAGGGTGACGATATGCCAGCTATCTCTTTAGAAATCCTCTCCCAAGGATACAGCTAGGGAAAGGAACAGCTCCCTGCTTTAGGCACAAAACAGCACTTCTACTTCAGCCATTACTCTGTGGTATCCTTTCCATCCAACTTGAAGAGGAGGGATGAGTTGATGCACAAGCAGGGCTGTGGAAGGGGTGGAAAAGACTCTTAAAAATAACCACCTCACTGTAACCGTCTCATAACCCTAGTTTCTTACTCCCCATGCAGGAAAGCAAAGCCCAGATAGTTCTGAGGGAGTGAGAGAGTACTCTTATGCAGTGTAACCCATTCTGTGATGCATTGTTTTCCTAAAGTACTGGGTCTTTTAAAAGTCAGGCTTGTATAGAGGCTGATACTTCCAGAGGCAGATGAACTTGGTTCAGTTCCCACTATTGGGCCTAGGAAATGCTAGTTGAGCAGTTTTCTTATTCTGGTATGTTGGGAGTTGCTTTTGCTGTGCTCAGAGCTGTCAAGGCAACGGCTTGGGAGCAGGAGGATAAGAGCTTATACAAAGAGGAAGCTTTCCCATGGAAAAGTTCATCCTCCAACAGAAGTAGTTCAATCATAATTTCAGCTGATCCCATATTAAAAGAATTGTTTTGACAAACAAGGTCCAAATGTTCCTTTTTGGTTAATGTCAAATTGAGTTGAGGGCTATCTGAGTTGTTACCTCATGGTCCTATTCACTTCTACAGATTCCTGGTTGCTGCATTGAACTGCTGTACTGCATCATTGGAGTCCCACTAATAAAGTGGAAGCTTGGTCCATAAGAGAGAATGGAGGCATAAGGTACCTGAACTACCACTCTTGGTGCACATCTATGCTACAGAGAAGATCAAACCTCCAGAGGTCGACCTGCTAGTGTTCCATTTCGCAGAACACTAAAATTGAACCCCTACAATTGAACACTGAGGGCAGCCTCCTCTGGTGTCTGGTACATCTCGTTCTGGGAAGATGAAGGGAAGCCTGTGGGGAGCATGTGCTGCTGTTGGCCTCCTGCAGCATGGGCACCGTGGCAACTCAGCTTAAGGTAAACCGAATCTAGCTATGCAAGTAAACTGACAGACCCGATCTAGTATAGAAAACTAGACCAGACCTTAGACACATGACAACAGCTTAGGCAAACAGTTTGACAAACTCATGTTCTGATTTGGTTCAAGACCCTAATCACAGGTTTCAATTTGGTAAGGTCTAAAAATTTTTTTTGACATTGACCCAAACAATACTACTGATTTTTTTTTCCAGACCTTTCATTTAGTGAAATTTTTAACTAGTTCTAGCAGTGCTCCCTTGCAGGCCATAATATTGATCCAGGTCTTCCTACCATTCAGCCTTAGGTTTGGTCTACACTTCTAAAATTCAAGCCCAGATGCAGCAGTGATTTAAAGTGAAAGTTTGGCTACAGCAGGAGGACTGGGCAAGTGTTCTCCCAGCCCTCTATATAAACCATCTCCACGAGGGGAATAGCTAACAGCACTGGAAGCATAGGTCCCCATTCTGAGACCCTGTTTACATGCTGCACTCAGGGGCAGGAAAGAGGTTCTGGCTCACTGGTGTGAAAAAGCAAGTTGCAGCGCAGTGAAGTGGCAGCATAGTTTTAGCCTTAATTGTTCTCTTAGGGTACATCTAGACTGCAACTTCTTTCGGAAGAAGCTTTTCCAGAAGAGATCTTCTAAAAGAAAGCATCCACACTGCCAAAGTGCATCAAAAAAGGGCAATCTGCTTTTCATAGGCGTGCACAGCACATTTCGTTAGGTGTGCACCCAAAGAATTTTTTTAAAATGTACCCCGACCCCCATTAGCCACGCCTCTGGAGGTAACACTTTCAGGGCAATATGGACACATGACCAGAAATAAAAGGTGTCATGTGACCCTTCCCCCTAAGGACTTTTCCCACCATCCTTTTACCAATAGGGATTAGTATGGCCCTCACCAAACCCCCCTCATGCAGCTATCCTGCAATTGCATTAACCCAATGTGTGTGACATTAACTCAGGGGGGGTGGAGAGGCTGGGGGAAACCCTTTAAGAGTTTCCTACTATGAGCACAATAAATTGTGTTAAGCCACAAACTCAGTACTGGTGCACATTTGGATGTGCCACTGTAGCACCCAAGTTATTAATAAATATCTTATGAACCACTACCTTTCCCCTCTGCTGCCCTGTCTCCTCCCCTTGCTCCATCAGCTCCCCAGGTGCCTGCTGCCCCCCCAACCCCTCACCCACCTCTGCTGTCCTGACTCCTGCCCTTCTCACTGCCCTCAGCCTTCCTGAGACCTGCCC